CGTTGCCCTAGAAGTATCTCAATTTTCAACCTTGAATTTCGATAAAAAATGATGTGCTAAATCATTCTAACATTGTTTATACACAGAAGAACACTCAGAAATATGGAGGCTAGCAGCTTCCATGGAGGATCACAAATCAGAAATTGAAGATTGGGATCTGGGAGCTGGAATATATATATCTTTTTATTTGTTGAGAAGTTCTTTGCAGGAGGACAGTGACACTATGAATCAAGTAACGTGAAATTTCTCTATAATCTACTTATTTGTGTTTGAATCCATCAAAGTGTGCTTGTGTGATGGTTGCATGAACAATTTTTTTTTTCCTGGTGGTTGTGGGAAGCCCATGTATTTAATGATAGGAAAACTGGAACGGGAATGAGATTTTAACTGTAGCTGTACAGCTTGATCAATGATCAACTTGTAATGACTAGAAGACAGCTTCTGAAAAAAGGAGGTTCATACTTCATCCTAGTTGGAGCACAGTTCATGAGCTGGATCTAACCTCTATGGTTGCTCAATTGATACTGGTCAATCTCACGAGAAGTGATTACCTGTCTTTTCTCTGCATAGTAATAGGAAGTAGAGTGAATACCTGTTCAAGATTATTTGTTGAAGCTTATAATCCTATCTCCTAGTTATTCTAATATCTTTTAAGAGATTGACAAAGCAGACGTTTCTATTGGCAGGACACTATAGAAAACAAAGACAATGCTTGTGCAGACTTCATCAGTCGCTTAAACAATTCTTTGGCTGTTTGGACAAACAGATTGCCTGTCAAAGCGAGGTAATGTTACTCAATATTAATTTGTTAATACTGAAACATGTGGTTGGAAAAGTTGACTGCTTCCTGCTAGAACCCCCTCTCTCTTCCCACCATCTCATTGAACCCTTATTTCTCATATCTAAGTGTGAGATGTTTGTTACTTAGGATAGTAAAGCGGTAACAGCTAAGTACTAAATATGGTATTAATTTATCTTTTACTTACCAGTTACCAAACATAAAAGCATTAATATTCACATGGTATTGTTTTTTATGATGAATAAATCTAGAATGTGAGGTAAGAAGTCATTTGTTTTTCATTTTCTTAAAATAGTATAGGGAGGGAGACAAAGTAGCTTCCTGTGTCTGTTATCTACATTTAAATATTTGATGTTTCTACTTCACATTTAGTGAATTAAAATCCGGCTGGGAATACTGTGGACTGGAAATGCTCTTTGTTTTCAGTGTCATTAATATATTTAATTACACCTCCTATATCTATGCAAAACATACTAGTGTCATCTATACCTAGGAGCTGATTTTCTTTCTTGACCTCTCCTAGCTATAAAGAGTAAAGACCAACAAATTTGTTCAATTTCTTGTCTTTTACATGGAGCCTGGAACAAACTGCTTAGATAAATCATCATATAAAAATGGACTCAAAATTTTTGGAGACAACGATAAACTACGTTACTCATCCCTAAGATCATATCTAGCTGGTATAAAACTTCAACTTTGTTTGTAATGCCATTTTAATGAATATATCTTATTCCAGTTCCAAAATAATAAATACTTCAACTTTGTTTATTAGCTAGTGTCATCTCAACTATGCTTCAATCCCCAACTAAAAAGGGGTTGGTTATAGGAATCCTTTGTTGGCTGCATAAATCCCTTGAATCATTTCCAATCTATTCATGCCTAAGTATCCGAAGATTCATATTAACCTACCAAACCTTTCCCATTTTCTAGGCTTGAGACTGGCCATGCTTAGCAGAACTCATATTAGGTGCATCTTACCATTTCTAAAGGTCAATTGGCCATATAGACACCTATACTTGCACCAATTTATTTTTTTGCTCCCCTAATCTATGGGATTTCATCCAAACTTGTTCCTTCGGGGATATCCGATAAAATTGGAACAATACAGTGAAGATTAGCATGGCCCCTGCACAAGGATGACACACACAAATCTATGGGATTTCATCCAAACACTTCGACTTGATCAAAATAAGTTTTTCAAATGCCTCTAACCTTGGAAGTTCCACATTCACCTTGACGTGGATTACTTATCATATCCACATCAGACAAACTCCTGACACGTCATCTTCTTCAACCAAAACCAAACAAATCCTCTTCCTCCTTCACTTCCCCTGTACATCTCCCCCTATATTGTAACGTCAACCAAAAATAAACTAATCATCACAATTCACAACCAAGAAATACTACAATTTTCAACTAAATCCAAACAAACAAATTTCCACATCCTAAACTCCCTTGTCCTCCTACTGTTTTCTCACATTTCTTTTACTTCAATGTGTCAAATATTTAGCAGAATTTCCTAATATTTTTCTGTCACCGGAAACGCTGAAAGAGTTACTGCCTGTTACCAGTTCAGATGACTCATCTGGGTCTTTGGCTTGCTATCCAATTCATGCCTTCAAGCCCCAAAGCCTTCACCTCTACAGAAACCTGTTATCCTCTCTTCCTTTCCCTGCATCATAACCACTTCAAATTTCAAAATCAAACCAAGAATCAAATCATCTTAGCTGTTCAATGATTCAATCTCCACCATCAACAACAACCAACACATAAAAGTCCCCGTCTGATTTCTGGTGAAGGAGATAATAGAATTGAAGGACATGAGAGGAGTTGGGTAAAGGAACTGAAGAGTTGCAATTAGGGAGTTGTACATTCACTTTGTCCAACTCAGCCTAATTAATACCACACATAAGCTCGTCAATTGTCACGAGGACTTGTTTTGATCAAGCTGAAGTATTTGGATGAAAAATGCGGTTGGGAATACAAAATTACAAATCAATGTGAGTAAAGGTGTTTCTTTGGTATTCGGCCTTAAAATTCAAAATAATAGTTCGGTGCATGGATGTTATAAAGAGAGAATTGTTGCATGTAGTAATTAATATTTTCACTGTTTTTTTTTTATGACAAGGGAAACTTGCAGCCGCTACCCTTTGGGTGCGCACAGGGTAAAACCCCCGCTCCTATGCAATAGCTCGCAAACCACATAGGAGAGGTAATCCGCACTAGGCAAAAGCCCGTTGTGATGAGCTCGACCCAGAAAGCAAACCCCTTGCTTTCGCTGGCAAGGGGTTTTGAACTTGAGACCTCCAACATGGAAGTCCCAAGCCCAAACCACTGGGTCACCTCGAAGGGTTAATATTTTCACTGTTTTGTTCTCTATGTTTCTACTGCCCTTAGAGTGTGTTAACTTATGGCCCTTGGTCACCTAAAATCTTCTCACTTATGGTTAAATCAGTAGAGCTTTATGTCAACTCGTTTATATTGAGGTAAATCATTCCATAAAACATGAAAATTTGACATGATCCTTGAATGCTTTAAGTCCATTTATTGTATGCTTGAGCACCTAAAGTAACAAGTTTGAGCTAATGTATGTTTATTGTCTCTAGGGTGGTTTATTCGAAAATGGCTGAGGAGATATGCAATTTGCTGCTTTCTGATAGCGGTGGAAGTTCATCAAATGAGGTCCAGCTAAGCTGCTACGATACCATATTCAAGGCACCCATACCTGAAGATACCCGTGCATACCATTTGCAGGATGCTGTGTCTCTTTTTACATCTTACCTTTCTGAGGTGCCGTCATAGTTCCCTTTTGTCAAAGCCCCATAACTCTATTTTAACAACAAAATTTTGTATGTTTATACGTCATAAAAATGTGAACATTTGTGTAGTAATAACCCATTATGTTATAATCCTTCTCCCCGAGGACTTCTGTTACCTTTGGTAAATCCTGTACTTGTAAAAGTTTGGGTTTTGTTGGACAAGTTTGCATTGCAGATTAATGAATCAACCTGTTACAATGTATCGGAGACCTGATTTGGATTAATTGTACTTGCTTGTTAACATTCTTTTGGTACTCGAGCCAGAAAGTTTTGGTTATTTGGCTATAAATTATATTTAGTACCATAAGTATTCTTTCACATATCTTTTTATTTATTTATTATCTTAAACGAGCGATGATGAAAGTAGTAAGGGGTCGCTTTATTTGAAGTCGAAGTTATGTTGGGAAATTAATTATCTTACTGTTTATTTCTTACTAAATTTGGAGGGTTATTACTTATTGTTTCATAATGTATTTTATTGTTTTAATGATTACCTCGTTTGGATAGATATCCTTTTTTGTTATTACATAATGTTACACATCAATAATTTGAATGATAAACATACAGAAAAATAAAGTATGAATAGAACTATTATATAAAGATAAGATAAAAAATAAAATAAGATTCTTAAATAATAAGTAAAGATATTAAGACAATTTAAATATATAGCCCTATTAATATTATAAATTAATAATTTTTAAAAATTATTAAAAATATCTAAAGTAATTTAGTAAAATATGATTCTAGTATTTTTTTTTATGACTAAAATGTCGCTAGGATTAGAAGTCCCCCAATCCATTAGGCTGTGGGTACTACATGTGATTCTAGTGTTTTTTCTTTTGTTAAAATTTAAATCTAGGTGAAGTTTATTTTTAATTTTTCTTATTGCATCCAAAAGTTTTGTTGTGCTTTTCTCGAATTGCACCAAAAGTTGTGAAGAGTTCTAGACGCGATAAAGTGGTTTCTTATGCGTAATTGGTTTTAAAAGTATTGTATCGTCTTCAACTTCCTCATCAATATTGTTTTTTCTGATAGTGTTCACAATTTTTTTTAAAGCTCCAATGGACCTTTGAAAATGTATCATTTTCACTCGGATAATATAACACACTTTATTTTATTGAGATAACCAAAATTATTAATGACTTCAAAATCATGAATGTCGTCTTCACAAAAGGGTTCATTTAAATTTTTTGAAGTTTCATCTCTGAACGGTATAATCAAAATAAATCTTTTTACTGAATCTCAAAAAAAAAAAATTAATTAATAAATACTAATTTATTAATTAAATAATATCTCTATAACATAAATAATAGAGTAATATTTTAAGATTTGGACCAGAAATGTTCTACCTTAGAAAAAACAAAAATATAACATACCTCTGAAATTTGCAATTCGTCGATCCCAATCGCCAGCGAAGCTTCCTCGTTTTCTACTGACACACGTACGCCGCCTTTGAGAGTGCGTCACATTTATATATATATATTCACCCTCTACGCTTCCGAGTCCTCTCGAGACCCTTGGACCGTTCACTCCGAGGATCATCATCTCTTCTCTACACCAATTTCTTCTTCTTCGCTCAAGATGCCTCGTACTTCTTCCAAAAAGGGTTTAACTGGTTCTGCAGCATCCACCAATCCTGCCGCCGATTTGTTTCGTTCTGGTAATTCTTCCTCTTCTTCAATTTTAATTTAATCATTGATTTCAGTGCATCTTTTCCGACAATTTGAATTGCCTTTCTCTCTAATGCCTGTTTGATTGTTAGAGTTTTGTAGATCATGTGTAATCCCCTTCCTTCCCTTTAGATCATGTAGACCCCTTGGAAATTGGAATTTGGAATTTGGAGTGGAGATGACCGATAATTAATGATTCAATTCGCGTAAGTGCCTTCCGAATTTTGGGAATTTATAGGGAGTTGAGTCAAGTGTTCATGATAATAGGGTTTTAGTGTAATAACTTGAACTGCATTGTCTGATTAATTTTTTCGATTGTTGTTCAATTAGGTATGGGAATTATTGAATTATTCATTGGTATTAAGGTGATTGTGTAAGTGCTAGTAGCAACCATCTGGTGTGGTGAGCCTTCTGCAGGAGTCTGGTTATTGTAACAATTTGAAACAGCTACGAACCACACGGGCAGAATAGTGTCACTGCCAACCTTTTTGTGATCATAAGAATCCTCATTTAACTGAACAATAGATAAAGAAAACAGACACTTTATGTTAGAAGTTTATTTTCTCCCATATTCTGTAGTGCATTCAAGTTTCACCGGCTTACCTTTTAAGTTTTAACCACGCTTCCTCCTGAGCTCAAACTAAAAGGGAACACATAATCATTAAGTTCAGCCCAAGATAACATCCGCTTTCCATTAATCCGTCTGGAGGCTACAGTTGACCCTAAAGGTTGGACCCATACGGATTTCTTGGTCATCTAAAAGAAATTTTTTGACGTATCTATGTTGTTTTTATTGTCTACATCTAGATGCTTTCGAATTTATTTTTCTGCTGTATTTGATCTTCAAGAAAATCAATTTGATTTGGTGTTTGTCTTGTAGCGGCTGAAGCATTTTCATAGTGCTTCAGAACTATTCTACTGGTCCATTCAGACCTCTTGGACATCAATGTTCCTTTTTCCATTTATGTTTGATGTTTAAAATACAATGTAAGCACTTCAGCTGCATTAGTTATATGCGCTGTAGCTGCATTACACTATCTCACTTTGTTTTCAATTTGCTCAGCTTCAAGTAAAGCAGCAAGTAAGGAGATGGAACGCATCGATCAATTATTTCATACATATGCCAATGCTTCGTCTGGTATGATTGAGTAAGTATGCATTACCATTTTTATTTCCCAGCAGTGTAGTTCATATTCTATATATTCCTATCATTACAAGTTATCTTTTGTTGTTTTCACTTATAGTAGTCCATAGGAAATCTAAGATTTTAAGCAAGAAAGTTATGCATTGAAAAAAGAGAGAAGAATATATGGATATTTCAGGGGTGGATGTACATTATAAGTTATGGGTTCAACCGAACCTACTAGCTTTGGCTCAAATCCTGTTTATTTGTTAAGAGATCTGCTAAATATGGACAAATATAATTTTTATTTGAGCCCAGACTTAATGATTTCTGAACCTATCCTGGATCCCCTCTGTGTTTGTCATCCAACTTTTTCCACCGTTAATGCAGTTTCACCAGCTTGTTTAAGTTCCTCAGTTTTGCAATCAATTAATGTGCTTTATATTTTTCATTGTTAGCCCTGAAGGAATTGAGTTTCTTTGTTCCGATTTGGAAGTCGAACATACTGACGTCAGGATATTGATGCTTGCATGGTAAGATTCCTATACTGGATTACTTGTTGGTATGTATGAAGTATCATGGATCTTCAGAGGTTTAATAACAGTAACTTTGAAATTTAGGAAAATGCAGTCTGAAAAACAAGGATACTTTTCCCTGGTATGTATTTGCGTTGGCTAGTACTAATATTACTTTAGCATTTCAGAATCTACTACACTGTTTTTGCTGTTTCTATCAACTTATCTGTTATGACTGTTAATTCAATTACCGTAGTTGTCAAATAAGGCTGGTGACCCTAGTCCCCACTAGTGGGACTACATTGGGTATGTTGTTGTTGTTGTCAAATAAAGCTGTCATTTGTTCTCCAGGCATATGGGTGTGCTTGCTATCTTAGGAAGTTTGTACCAAAGGGTAGGTCAAGGGTGCTGAAAAGTTGATTTAAGTCTCAAGTTTATTAAATGCTTGACCTCTCTTAGCCCATGTGCTGATTAACAGATTAATAACATAGGAAAAAGGCAATGGTCAGGCAGAGTTACAGTCACATAGTTTTTCCCAGGCCAAGCTGTTTCCCGGAAAACATAGTAAGTTTAATGGAGGAATTGATGTGCGTTTTTTCGTCTTTTTGCTTGGGATGATGAAGAATTATGCTTTCGCCACCTGTGACTTGGATATGCCTATTTGAGCATGTTCAGACTTTTTATAGGGAGAGATACTCTTTTGTCTAGTATGACATGTAATACAACGAAACTGAAGAGAATCTTCTGTTAAAGAACTCATCCCGGGGATTATGGTTTGGAAGTAGTTGCCCACTGGTTTGGTGGTTAATGAAGTGGGGGGGGGGGGGGGGGGACAATGAGGTTACAGATTCAGATCAGATCCTAGTGGAGGCAGAAAGCAAGTACTAGGTTATTTCTTCCCATCTTCTAAGTTGGCATATGTGCTAGTAGGAGTTAGCAGGTACCGGTGGAATAGTAAAAGTAGTTGATTCAATACATTTCTTATGTACCCATAGGTACTATATTGGACGTGAAGAAGATCTTCAGTTGAGTCACATATTGCCATTTACCACTTTCGAATTTTTAGAATTGGATTTATATGGGTACAGGGCGAACGATTTTAAAGCAGACTCCCCCTTGCGAATACTAAAAGTAAAGCACCTACCTAACAAGATTAAGCGAATACCTAAAGAGATCAAATTTGCTTATCCCACTTAGCTTGATTGAATCCATTATGATCCGCACTTGATGGTCGTCGGTTTGATTCCGATAGCCACAATTCTTTCTTGACGTTCCCGCAAGTTGGACCAGACACCACCTGCATTTAAAAGAAGTGCTTATTGTAGGAAAATCAAGTCGAGATATTAGTTGATCTGTTACACTATTGAAAGGCATGCATTGGTTTGATGTTGTAACGAAGCATCACTCATGGTATGTTAATTGGATCTCTACGTTACTCTATTTATAAGTATGCTTGAGTTGTTGGTCCAATTAGTTGTAGTTAGCACACAGATTTACAGGAGGGTTGCCTTTGTGCCAAAGTGAGATTAGGCTTTGACATTTTTACTTTCATTGAGCAAGCAGTAGAATCCATCACTTATAAAATGCAAGAAGACACATGTGTATCAGCTTTTCCTAGGAATGCAACTATTTCGGATTTCAGGTCATTGTAGAATGTTTGATTTGGCATGATAAACAAAATTTTCCCACTCGTTCCTTCTGGAAATTCAAAATAATGATTTGAACCCATTAAATTGTTGTTATGTTATGCAGTTGCCCTCGACTTCTCAGCTTGTTCCTTTTTTTGCTTATACTTGCTTGTGTGCTTCTTGACGTTGACTCACCATTGTTTTGACCACTAGAATGAGTGGCGGAAGGGCCTCAAAGCATTAAGAGCTGACACAGTACAAAAATTGAAAAAAGCACTTCCAGAACTTGAGAAGGAGGTACTTATCATATTTTAACTTCTGGTCATGCTAAGTGAATTTTTGGGTACCCTTCTGTGTGAGGAGTGTTGTTCTATTCCTGCTAATATCCACATTTTCTTTTCTCTAAAAGGTTAGAAGGCCATCAAATTTTGTGGATTTTTACTCCTATGCATTTCAATACTGCTTGACAGGTATGGTGCTGCCACTGTTGCCTGTTATGTAAACATTAAGTTGTGTTAATTCATGGAGGGAAAGATTCATTGATCAGCTTTAGACCCAAAAAGAGAGCAAAGATGAAACAGAACAGAATAGCTTTATAATATTTTAAAATAAATAATTAAATATAAGTCTTTGAAGCTGGGAAGAACAGCATGTCTTCTTATGTTGGGTTTAGTTTTTGTTCCCATGTAGTAACTATTTCTTAGATTGTTTTCCCATTCGTTGCAAGTTCCGGAGGCTGGCTGTGAAAGTTGGGACATTAAATTGGATCTTTGAACTTTGTCTTCTTTTCTTCTGATTGCCAGTTTTTCTTTTTTTCTTCACTCTTTCCTAGAGGAGAAGCAGAAGAGCATAGACATTGAGAGCATTTGTCTCCTTCTGGATCTCGTTTTAGGGTCTCAATTTCGGCCCCAAGTTGACGCTCTGATTCAGTATTTGAGAGTGAGTTACCCTATGTCTCCTCTTGCTATTTAATTGTCCGATTTTTAATTCATTTAAAATGTCCATTTGGTTGGCAGGGTATAACAAGAACTATATAATTGTTAGGTTTTACTGGGGTTAATCTGATTATTCCCTTTTGGATGCTTTTGGAGCTCTTTTTATGGTGAAAAATATTAATTTGACTGAAAAATCGCAGCTGCATTCTATGGCTCCTTTAATTGTGGATGCTCATTGACCTCCCTGTAAAAGGGGACTGTCCTATTGAACATCATATGCTGCTTTTAGTCATTTTGTCATATTTTATAACCCAAAGGGGTTGAGTGAAGAGGCAGAGTAAATCCTTCTAAATTCTCCTAAATAAGTACACTTACGTGCTTGGTTACTGATGCAGACGCAGATTGATTACAAGGTTATAAACATGGATCAATGGATGGGATTCTTTAGGTTTGTGAACGAGGTAAATCTTCAGTTCACTTTGTTAATTTTTTTGATTATCCTATGTCATCATCTTATATGAGCAATCTGGTTGTTATCTGACAGTTGCTTCCATCAGAAGCCTTGTGGGGACTTTGAGGTCTGAATGTTAAAAGATTAAAGTCTTATCTCCCGTCTTGATGTTTTTGTGTAACAGATAAGTTTTCCAGACTTGAGCAATTATGACTCGACCCTTGCTTGGCCACTGATCCTGGATAATTTTGTCGAGTTAATGAGAGAAAAGCAGGGCTAAGAACACTGTTGTTTGGCATGTCACCGTGTGCACCAAATACTTTATTTCTCCGATAGTATGTTTTCTGTTTCCATATAGTGAATGAATCTTGAAATTTGTTCGAGATGGGTTTTGCTGATAATACAAGTATCATTCAGGTGCAGGAGTCGTTGAAGCCGCTCATAATGCTGTGCATACCATTGTTCCGAAAAATACCATTGTTCTGAAAAATGCTGTTTTCTTCCCCTCTCCCCCACCCTTCAGCTTGTATGCTATGATATAGAATGATAAGTGGATCTATTCTTTCAGATAACTAACTATTTGTGTTCAACATGAATAGTATATTACTATTATTTGTTATCTTACTTTCAGTATAAATGTTTGGAATTTGGTTTGAACTTTGGAATCTAATCTACTATATTGTTGGTAGGTTTAAGTAGATAGTGTTGTGACTTTTAAGTACCAATTATGATAGGTTGGCCGGTATGATTGTGGGTCCAATTTCAGTCTTAAGAATAAAAGATTGTTCTAAGTGATGCACCCCATTATGCATTTTGGTGCCTTTACAAAATTCAATAGTTGAATGATTTGCCTGGCGGTAGATGGTTAAAATTTTCTTCCCAACAACTTTCACTTAACACATTCTTTCTTTACTTGTACGTCAAGTCTCATATGTTTTGAAAAAGAAAAATGAATGTACAATCAAAATCTAGGTTTTATTCTTTTACTCGATAAAAAAATTACTACTACTTAATCTATTTTTCGGTTATTGGGTGTAGCAGTGATCTTCACCCTTGATCAATTGAGTAGTTTTTACTTTTTAGCAAGTAGGAATCACTTATTCGTCTTATTTCTAACGGAATTTAGGGTTGCAGTGAATCAGTCTCCAAATAATTGTTGTAGCAATAAAAATGTATGCAGGTTTTATTAATTCTTACATTTATGACTCATCTATAAAGTAGTTTATATTTTCCTATCCTCTACTTCCAATTTAAAATGTAACTAGCAACTCACAACTATTCCATGCCATTACAATGATATTTTGAAATCCAAGTTCAAACTAGAGTTCTGATTAAATTTATTCTATTTTTATCTTCAAATTTTTTGTCAATAAAAGTTATGCCTAAATTTCTCCGATATACCAGATATGCAATTGTTGTCTAATTAGTTTTTCGTCAAACAAACTTTTTTTTGAAATGCTAACAACATCTGAATTCATGGCCAACATACCCATGTTGGGTGCTATTCTTAAGGCCCGAGATACGGCTCAATATAACCGATTATTAACCGTTATTTAACAAATATTAAAAGGTATATCTATAGCATGACCGACATTAATGAATACAAATCCTAGTAAAATATTTAGTATTAATAAAATATTAAAATAACCATCAAAGAATATAGATTGAATGATGTTGCTCCTTCCTTAATTAAATATCTTTATTTTGAGTTTTGGATATAAAAAAAAATCATAATAGGGAACGCTATATTCAAATGGGGCCTATTTTGGCGCACATTAGAATTAATCGAACTCCAATATGAATATCGAATACTGAATAAAAAATATTAAATTGAATAAACCTAAAAATATTTTTAAGTATAATTGGTATTAATGATGGGTAGATTATTTTTTAAGTTGTAAAGCACTCAAGTCTAATAATTAATTATTATTTTTACTATAATGACACAAATTTATTAAGTTTCGAAGTTAATTTGCCTGTAAGATTTAATTATATCTTATATAAAAATCATGAACCATTATATATTATTATCTTGAAATCTACTCAATTAATCTGTCATATTTTTCTTTATAATCTGTTAAAAAGTAATGTTCCTTTTCTTTTCTTAGTTCCAACTCTACATGACATGTTTAAGATCACAAGATTAAAGGACATTTAACATATTTGTCATATTTTTAGTTTAAAATCACAAGGTTCCAAAATCTTCCTTAATTTCTTAAAGTTCATGCCAAGTCAAAATAGAACAAACAAATTGAAATAGAGAGATTAATATTTTTAATTTTATCACTCACACATAAAATTTAGAACTAAGAAGCATGTTTGCTATCACATAAAGTCCTATATATGTATAATTTATTTTAATGAACATAATTTTTTTTAGCATGATACGGTATGTGTTTTTGATGCTCTTTTTCTTCACTCTTTCCTAGAGGAGAAGCAGAAGAGTATAGACATTGAGAGCGTTTGTCTCCTGCTGGATCTCGTTTTAGGGTCTCAATTTCGGCCCCAAGTTGACGCTCTGATTCAGTATTTGAGAGTGAGTTACCCTATGTCTCCTCTTGCTATTTAATTGTCCGATTTTTAATTCATTTAAAACGTCCATTTGGTTGGCAGGGTATATTACAAGAACAATATAATTGTTAAGTTTTACTGGGGCAAATCTGATAATGCCCTTTCGGAGCTCTTTTTAGGGTGAAAATTATTAGTTTGACCGAAAAATCGCAGCTGCAATCTATAGCTCCTTTAATTGTGGATGCTCATTGACCTCCCTGTAAAAGTCCCGTTGAAAATCATTTGCTGCTTTTAGTCATTTTGTCATATTTTATAACCCAAAGAGGTTGAGTTAAGAGCCAGAGTAAAACCTTCTATATTATAGTACTCCCTCCGTCCCTTTTTAGTTGTCCATTTTAGAAATGACACACAGATTAAGGCAACAATGATTAGCACATTGAAGTTACAATTTTACCGTTATGACAACTTTTCACTTCAAAATTACAACCACTTGTTTGAATTAAAGTGAAATAAATTGGAGGGAAACAACATACACTTTTACAATTTTCAAGAAGTGTAAATAAGGGTATAATAGGAAAAAATTTGTTGTCCTTTCTTGATTTGTCAAAATGGACAACTAAATAGGGACAACTAAAAAAGGAAATATGGACAAGTAAATAGGGACGGAGGGAGTAATAAGTAGACTTACGTGCTTGGTTACTGATGCAGACGCAGATAAGTGGATCTATTCTTTCAGATAACTAACTATTTGTGTTCAACATGAATAGTATATAGATCTAAGTTACTGTTCTTTGGTATCTTACTATGGAATTCGTTGGTAGGTTTAAGTAGATAATGTTATGACTTTTAAGTAGCAATTGTGGGCCCAATTCCAGTCTAAAACATTAGACTTTAAGACTGAAAATGGGCGCGCAAGAATAAAATATTGGTAGACAAATTCGGGATGGATTTGGTAGAAACTTGAGAAAAAGAAAGCCTGATAAATGTTGCCGAAAGCTGCAGAAAGGTATATAATAATTCTGTAAAAGGAAAGACAGCAGATTCCTAGTCTCTTAGAAACCAAAGTAGGACCTAAATAAATTGAGTGGCAGAGTTAGGAATTTAGGAAAGCATATGCAAATTTTTTTTCTTAGTTGTGTTAATGATGTGTGAAATTAAATATACACTCATAATAGTTACTATTCCATTTGACTTTTCGTTTAAGTATGTGCAATGGACCACCCATCGCCTAAGGTGGCTCTGCCCATAGGACTTTTGGTTTTGAAGTGTTGCTTGGTTGGAACATGTTATCTAACATATTCCATGATAAGGAACGAGCAACCGTCACCCACGTTTTTTGCCTTTTCGGTAAGAGTGCAACACCTGATGCATAGGTAACACGTTCATATATCATGAGTTTTGATATTTAAGCGCAGATGTGAAGGTTAGATGCTCATATATTTTGGGTTTGAACTCTGCCGCAGACAAAAAAATAATATTCAAGTGTATAATGGTGTAAGAAGTAAAAAAGGGTTCCATCAAGAGGATTTTTGAACTATTTATATTTTCATAAATATCTTTTAAAGCTCAGGTTGAATCTTGATGCACTTGTACTCTAAAGATCGGATGACTTGTAAGCCAAACAAATTCATTAGGTTTTGCTAATTGACAGCTATCATAATACGCATTACGCAAAGAAGTTTATACCCAATTCATTGAAATCATTCATGCACAGAATCTTTTCAGGGCTTCCTGAACAGCTGTAGTGTTTATCAAGTAAGGTGCAAAAGAATCAATTGTAAAACAGAACAAAGCATGTAGAGCGGCTTTCTTCTTCTTCATCAAGAAATCTAAATTGAATTGGCTATCAATGGTGAAGATGAAGGCACCGGGCTTTTGCCTCTGCTTCTGTTGCTTGAGGTTGTGACAAGCGGAGGTGAACACGACGAAGATGGAGATGATGAATCCGAGGATGGAGTCAGCCTACTAGAGCGGCTTCTTAGTTTCTTCTTCTCCCCTTCACCTGCCTTGTCTTCGATACGATGGTGGCCAATTTTGGTCGAGTTCAAGCTCACTGGAATTATGCAATTGCAAAACAAACCTACAGCATGGATTAAGACGTGATTAGTTCTGAAGTTAAACACATCTTCTCGTACAAGTATGGTTGCCAAATTTGTAAAGAATCAGAACAATATTTTTAATCACTCAAAGCCATATCAATGAAAATTCTTAGATAAGTTTTTCCCTAAAGGCACATGCTTTAAGCCTTTAACCATAACCATCTTTTCAATTGGGAATAGCTACCAGGGCACATCCGGTCCCATAAAGTCATGGTCGTACTAATTTTCTAACAATACGTGTACACAGACTTTATCCTTACCTTAAAAGAGACAGATTGTTACTGTTACAATAGAACATACTAAATAAAGAACAGTAACTACAACAAATAATATGATAATGGGGTCGTAACAATTTCCTATTAAGCTATTTTTCAGTGTGAAAAGACCTAAAAAATTAACAAGTTATTTGAGCTGCAAAAGAGAACAAGAACCAATTCTGTAACAAATATCCAACATAAACATAGCTAACTGCTAACTATGAATTCTTTGAACATGAATAGAATAAAGCAATGATGATTCATATAGACAACTCGTATAATTGATTGATTGATTCAAGAGACTTACCGATTCGTGCAAGTCGATTTACCCAACTAGGGATAGGATTGCCGGAAAGTTTAACACAAGCATCATTGCAGAAATGATTACAATTCTTAGTAATAAGATTATAAGCATTTCCCCTATACTTTTCAGCAAACTCTTCCATTACTCTTTTCACTTCTCCATGACTCATCTCAGTCCATCCAATCAAAATCGCCTTCCTAAACGTAAATCCCTCGCACTGTTTCGGTTCCCCTTCGAAAATCCCCGTCGTCGAATACTCATGAGCTCCAAATGCATACTCTATTCCATGAACTAAAACAAAATTTTAATTCATCAACCAAAAAAACACCTAGATCTACGAAAATTCAATTGATTACTCACCTTGAACACCAGAATGGTAAACCCCAAGACCAAGCCAATATGCATAACCATTAATGGTAGTAAGATCGTATACGTTTAGATACACCGGCACCGATCCACGCCCACAACTAACTGAATTCTTTCTGCACAGCATCTTTAAACAAAACCTCCTCCTTCTAGCAACACCCTTTTACTCTATAACCATTGTTAAAGAAAAACACTAAACACCCACATTGTAAAACAGAAAAAAATGAATCTTTAATAACAAAATTCAGGTAGAATTATGGGTTTTTTCACTTGGGGGTTGATAGCGGCGGCGTTATAGTGCAGCGCCGTTTAATTTTGGCGGAGAGTGGGTTGTTTTTATACTACATAAAATGTATAAAACAGAGGAAAAAAGAGGGAATTTGGGGAAAAAACTTAAGAAGAAAGGTTGGGAACTTAGGAATCTGAGCTGTAGGGTGATCCAGTTTTATTTTTTTGTTATTTAAAATTTGAAAAGGTCGATTTTTCTGGGAGAAAGTAACGTACATCATTATGATATCCAGTGGGAACTGCTGGAGTGTGTTCATTATAATAACATATTGGGATGGTGCTTTCATCTTATTTTATTTTATTTCGATTCGGTGTTTGATATTCACATTAAAGTTCGATTAATTTAATTTATAATGAATAGAGCAAATTTGGAAAAAGTGTTTTTTTATCAAGGATATTGATTGGTCGTGATTTGGCATGGTTTACGTGTTATTGATTTTCAAAAGAGTTAATAGTGTTCATTAGCTAAAATCGGGGACCGAGTGGTAAGGCTATGATCCATAGGGGATCAAATCACTCATTCTTCCATTGGGGACAGGTGCACGAACGACAACTCCAAACGTCACACATCCGCCGCCTACCTGCCGTTTAGGTGGCACCGGTGAGATCTAGTAAGGAAGTGTCGCGGCTACTCCACTCCGTTGCGGTCTCATGAACTGAAATTTGTTGCCTTCCTGCGTGCGAAACGAATGGGCGTTGTGTCATGGGTCAGTTTCAGAGTAGGGAGTGGGGTCAAAATTTCTTCGAATATGTTTTTGAATTCATTCGAGATGTGAGTAAAACTCAAATTGGAGAAGAATATGGCCTCTGGGTTCCTTTTGTTGGCATTGTGTTTTTATTTTTCTTGTATGTTGATTTAGCAAATCAATGCCTGAAGTCATTTAGTCATACCTCCAAGTTGTTGATTGAAATGGAATTGGATGTGTCGGCGGTGCTTGTCCGAAGGAAGGGCTATCTGATCTGATCAACTACGTAAGTCGTAGCGCGCATACTCTTTCTTTATGAGCGAGACGTGAAGTTGTTGTTCAAGAATTCTTATTTAGGCAGATCATACTATCAATACATAGTGTTTTGATCTAAGATTTCAATTCTTCTGTGTTTCAGCAGTAACGTATTCTTCCTAGATCTTTTTTTCGATGCAACACAAAAAACACTCTCTTTTTATCATCCATGTAGCTTTTCAGATTTTGTATGAACGCACGGTATAGCTAGGACCCTTCAAATTATGTTTGAGCCTATGTTCAAGCCAAATCCATCCCTATTTTACTAAGGCTGGAAAGAATGTCCACCAAATTCAGATAAGAGAATGTTTTCCCCAACCATTAAAGTAAAGGCTCAATGAAAGGAGAGAGGTGTGGCAGAGAAAGGAAAACGCTTTCGGAGATCGAGATTTTATTTTCATTGAAAACAAAGAAGGCCGAGGATGGCCTACGGTGTGTCTTATCGGAAGGGACACATTTTTTCATTTTATTTCGTCAATTTTGGTTAAGAACTCAAAAGTCAAGTTTCATTCAAATTAGTTAATAATTAATCATTTTGACATACTGTTTTTGCATAAATGATAAGTAGAAAAGCGATAGGAACTAGAATAAATAGTGGAGTAGCAATAAATGCAAGAATATTTACTTCCATAATCTCGTTGATTTTTTACTTCGCAATAACTCGAGATTTAATCCCCATAGAGATGATAAATCTTTGGCCTGTAAATTCAATGAATCAATATTACCTCTCGATGATCTTGAATCAGATCAATATCATGAATAACAATATCTGAACTATCAAATATATTCGTCGTCGAGAATTGAATAGTATAACATAGGAAGTTCTTTATTTGTTTATCATTTTTTAATAATTTGTTCTTTTTTTCTCTCTAATCTATCTAGTTCCTTCTTGTATAATCATCTAACAAAGTCTCATCAAATAGCTCTTCTGCATTGGAATTGATAAATTTCGTGGAGTTCATAATTGCATAAAAGGAGTCAAAGTAGTGGATGCGGCGCGTTAACTCTAAAAAGCATAGAATCGTGTCGCCTACTTGCTGAAAGTAAAAATGGAATGGCTGATCATGAATTCTATGACATTTTTAAGACCTCATTAATCAGCCAACCACTTTTTAGATCATAATGAATGAACCCTGAAAGAAGAAAGAATATCCCATCCCTTTTACTAAACCATGGGGAGCCCCAAGTAATTTAACCGGACAAATTGAGTTGTTGTGACAATACATTTCAACATCAGAAATTCTCTTCATCACGAGACTGATCGAATCTGCCGTAGATTCTTTCTTATCTTGTCTTTGAATTCGTATTTTATTTCTACACAATCAATGAAGATCTTTCCGACATATATATTGGAACGTATTCAATAGCATATTCTTATTTCATTCGTTCCTTATTGAGTCATCAAATTGGATATGTTTTTATCCTACTCGAAATCAAAATCTGAGGAAAAAGTAATATCATTTGCCACCACATGTTTGATAATAACTTTCACTACTGTTATGAATGATTATGAATACTTTATCTTCAATTATTGTGGTTTAAAGAAGCCTTGTTTACCCTAATATTAACAAAATGTAAAACTTAGTGCCTTTTGTAATTATTTTATAAAAGAATTTAGAAAAAGTAGTCTTTTTAAGTGTCTATATATTAAACTCTTTAGTGAGATCGTTTCAAAAAAAACTTTTACACTATTATATCATCGGAATAATAAAGTAATAATGATATAACAATCAACTGAGATTACTAATATGGAAAATATGCAATAGTAAATTACAATACTATTGAATCTAGAAAATGACTAAAATTATCCATTTATATTTGACGATAGATTTAAAATAATCTCTTGAATAAATTTTCGAACAATTTCATCCTTTAAAAATAAATTTGAATCACTTTTTTTAAACTTTGAAATTAATCTTCAAGAAGAAAAATCTTAAAATAAGAAGTACAGCGGAAAGCAAAGTAAAAAAATTCTTAAAGTTCGTTTACCTTTTTATCCTAATTTAAGTCAACTGCCTTTCTTAATCACTACTTTTAATTTATTTTTATCTATTTTTTCGAAGAGGTCAAGTGAATAGTTGAAAAAAATGAATTCGTTCTTTAATGAACAAATAGATTAAAAAAATTATTATGCTTATCTTAAAATTAGTGGATTAAACTATTTGACGATATATAATGATATGATGTCTCAAAATGGGGTAACCAAGCGATGAGAAAAATTTACTTTATTAAGAGGAGTAATGATTATACGTGCAATAATCTATAGGTTAACGCAATTTCCCTGTGGATAGATTCATTTGCATTTTTGTCATATTTTGTGTCGATTTTTATTTTTTATTCTTAATTATTTATTTCGTGAAAATATATATTTATATTTTCATATTATAATATCTAAAAGTTATGTTTGTTCACGACTTTAATTTCTAAAAAATATATATCTAATTAATAATTTTACATAGGTACGATTGCTGAAGGAAAATATTAAAGGTCAGTTCATTTTTAAAAATAAAGATCAACCAATTAAAAGAATAAACTACGTAATTTTATGTATGGGAATTGGCATGTCCTGAGCCTAGACGACTCTGGATGAAATTAGCATTTGATGTGTTAACTAATTTATATCGTAGATAGGTTAGTGCAAATTTGAAGAAGAGTGTGAAAGCTAGGAATCAGTTAAGTCGTTAAGGGCAGAAAAGTCATTTTGTAATAGTTAGTTATAACCAACTGAGTTAGTTAGAGTTAGTTCACTGATGTGTATAAATATAGATATCTTGTAATACTGTAAGCAACACAATTCATTTCTGCAATACAAAGAATTTAGAAGCTCCTAGAAGCTCTCTGTAAAAGTTCACAATTGAGCTATTTTGCACTTTACGTTCATGGCATCAGAGCAGGACCTCACAGTGATTATTGTTGAAGTCGATTGGACATAGGATCAAAGAATCAGAAGGTGATTCATCGATTTATCTATTTTTCGTTTTGTTCAACGTTGCAGATCAGAGCTCAATTACAAGTTGAAGGTTATTAGAGCTTGAATTTACTCTGTTTGAAGTGTTATTGCTTCCGCGACAACAATTTATCATAGATCAGTCATGACGAATGAACATACAGCAGTTGAGCATCCACAGACTCTGCTTAATGGACAAATTGCATCTGGATCTGCAAATGGAAGTGCAACATCAGGAAATCCAGCTCCAAGACAGGGTATTGACTATAATCATCCCCTATTTCTTAGTCCTACTGATGTGAGTGGGATCAGTATCATCTCGTTTCAGTTGTTAGGAATTGAGAATTATACCTTGTGGAGTAGATCAGTTAGGCTAGCTCTGTTAAGGCGGAATAAAATTGGTCTAATTGATGGCACTTCTAGAAAGGAGGTATACAGTGATGACTTAGGGGGATATTGGGAAAGAGTGAATGCAATTGTGTTATCCTGGCTTATGAACTCGGTGTCTAAGAGTTTACTGAGTGGAATAGCTTTTGCTACTACTGCGTTTGATGTTTGGAATGACTTAAAGGAAAGGTTTGACAGAGTGGATGGGTCTAGAACCTATAATCTCCATAAAGATATCACCTCTTTACAACAAGGAACTACGTCTGTGTCTGTGTACTACACTAGACTGAAAACTTTGTGGGATGAATTTGAGGCCTTAGTGCCTCCTCCCTGCTGCAATTGTGACAAATCAAGAGGTTTTGTAGTGCATTTAAACAGGCAAAAGTTATACCAATTTTTTATGGGATTGAATGAATCATATCATCAGGCTAGGAGTCAGATCCTTCTGATGGATCCACTCCCAAACATTAATCAGGCCTATGCTATGATAGTGGGGGATGAGAGTAAAAAAACTGTAGTTCACAGCACTGGTGGT